ATCCCCTGATTACTCCTTCATGCGTGTGTTTGGTTGTTCTTGCTTTCCCAATATTACTGCCACATCTTCTAACAAACTCTCGGCCAGGTCTATTCATTGTGTTTTTATTGGCTATGCATCTGGGTATAAAGGATATCGTTGTCTTGACCCTAAGTCTGGTAGAATTTACATCAGTCGACATGTTAAGTTTTTTGAAAATAATTTTCCTTTTCCTCTTCTAAGTTCTACCACACCTGAGTCTCCCGCTACGCCTACCCCATCTGACTTCCAGTTGACCAACACTCTTCGGCCACCATCTTCGGCACCGGCAGTTCTTCTGCCACCATGTTCCAGCCCACCAGTGCCCTTCCATGCATCTTCGACCATCGATCAGACACCACCTCCCACCCCTTCCTCCAACCAGCCATCTCCTCGTCCTGAACCCACACACCACACTCCCAGTCCGCTGCACACTGTCCTCGGCCAGCCTAGTCCCAGGCCTTTACCTTCTACCGGTCCGTCTGCCAGCCATGCTTCATCCTCCAACTCATCTCAACATGACCAGACCGTCACTCCTCAGACCGACCAGCCTTTAGTCAGTTCGTCCAGCCCTCATACGACCCACATCTCCACCTCCAGTCATACTTCAACCGCCTCACTTCATAATATACATCCCATGCAAACCCGAGCTAAGTCCGGTATTTTTAAACCCAAATCAATTTTTACATTAAATACAGTTGTTAGCACTGATCCTACATGTTTTTCCGAGGCTCATAAAAGTTTGGTTTGGCGTGAGGCTATGGCAGATGAATTTAATGCACTTATCACTAATAATACTTGGGATTTAGTTCCATTTGATAGTACTAAAAATGTGGTTGGGTCTAAGTGGATTTATAAAACTAAATTTCATTCTGACGGAACCATTGAGCGCCATAAAGCACGTCTTGTTGCTCAAGGTTTCAATCAGCAGGCTGGTGTGGATTTTTCAGAAACTTTTAGTCCGGTTGTAAAACCCACCACTGTTCGTATTGTTCTTACTGCCAGGGCTCCTTAGGGAGTACGGCTTTCCCATTATTTCCACAAAAACACCCTTATTGTTAGTCAGTAAAGTAAAAAAAAATCACATTTGGATGTTATTCACTATCTTCATTTTAGTGTTATATATTCATCATTATTTCAACTCTGCAATGGGGCATTTTTTTGATATTATGTTGACAAATGTATAACCTAATCACATCTTATGACATGAATCGAAATATGAATATTCATATATATTTATTCTTTTTAGCTCTGATTCCAAACGTGGATTCATGTTAATTGTTCTCAAATTCTTATGATACTAAGTGGATGTTGTTATATTGGGGGTGTTTGGTTGCTGGCCTATCAGCTGCTTTTTTGGCTGTTTTGACTAATAATTGACCTTTTGACCAGATGAAACAGCTAATAAGGTGTTTGGTAAGATAGCATTTTTATCTTGCTTTTTCATCAAAACAGCCAAAACTCAAAATGCCACTAAACCCAGCATTTAGCCATTAGCCTTTTTGTTTCTCCTCCGATTTTCCTGATTTGCCCACACCCGATATTCCCTCGGCTAGTTTTTAATTTCTCCATGTGATAAAAAAAAAAAGTCTGTATTGATTTTCTGTTGGTAATTTGCTTGGCAGCACTTTTCTTGGAGGCCTGTAAAACTATACGCAGTACTTCGTATGTTCAAAAAAAATTGTTAAGAAGTCCCACATAAAATACTTAAGAGATAAGTTTATAAATCCTTGTGTCAGATTAGCTAATGATTGAATCTAATCTTTTAGTGTATTACATAGTTGAGTCGATCCTAACATGCATACAAAAGCATAGAATTCTCTCAAAATGTAAAGGACTCAATTGTACTTGGTTTTGGAAGTATACATTTACTTATATGTTACTCCGTATAACTCTATTTATGAAGAAAAATATTGGCATACTAACTAAATTTATTTATACATGAAATAATGTTAAAATAATTATTAGTTGTTTTCATAAATTTTTTAGTTTATATAAAGTAAAAACGTTTTAAGTAATTGTACTAATGACATTATAAAAGAAAAATTAACCGATGTCCTTACAAGTCATTTAACAAGTTATCTGCTAATTGTAAACAGCTATTTTATCAAACACTATTTTACAAACTGCTAATGTTATCAGCTAATCAAAACCGCCAACAGAATCCGCTGTGATCAATCAGCCAACAGAATCCGCCAATAGCTAACAGCCAACCGCCATTTGCCAAACACCCCCATTGACTATTCTTTCCATGTTCAATTTTAACGAAAGGGAAAACTTAGACGCCGTTTGGAACCACTGTTTTTCGGCTTATCAGGCTTATCAGCCAACTTTTTCACCAAACACGTAATTTTTGCTTTCGCGTGCTGAATTGTGTAATAAGCAGAAAAAGTAAGGTTGAAGTTACTTTTCTAGCTGTATTGGCTGAAGTTACTGTAGATGGCCATTTTAGCTATTTTTACATATAATTTTTTTCTTTATTTTATAATAAAATATATTTTAAAAATAAGTTTTTCTTAAATCAGCAAAATCAGCCAATGCAGCCACTTCAGCCAGAACTTCATAAATTTCAGCAGAATCAGCCAAAACAACCGATTTTCGTGTTACCAAACGGGCTCTTAGTTTGAAATTTTCACTCAAGTCGGGCATTATTTAATTTGTTACTAGCTCCGAGCCTACAACATGAGGGAATAATTGAATTATTATACTTCTATTTATATACTCACTACTTGATCAGTATTTCGAATTTTGCTCCTAGACCAGATCGTTTATGTTGTCTGGTAGAATTTAGATCTTTTTAATTTTTGTCATTTTTGAAATCTGATTATGTTTTACAGTATCAAATGCGTTTACCAACAACATGTAGCTCATATTTAATTTAACCAGATTTGTTAAGAATAAGCCAGTAACAAACCTAACGTACTGTTAAAATTTAACAGTTTTTATATATGGCGTATGCCAAAATATCCCATATGGCAGTTTTTGCACCAAACATATGTAATTACGTGCATTGTAAGATATCATATTATCTTAACAAAAATTTAATTATTTAAACGTTGATGTCGCTTAACGTTACTAGAGCATAATACCATATTTTTTATACGTATTTTCTTGATATGCTTTTTTCAACAGCATTTGATATTGTGTTACGCATATTTACTAAGCTTGGACATTTATTCAAATTCCTCTTTCGTTTCAAACTTTATCATTTATAGTTGTCTATTCATAGAAACTAAACTATATATAATCCAACATTTTTAGTGATTATCTTTGACTTTAAATCTTTTGGTGGCCATTGACATTTGCCAACATGCTAACAATAAAAATTTCACCTTTGAAAATTTATGAAAGTTCATGCCATAACCTTATGATCAGTGCGGTTTATAATATATATGTTGCGAAAAATATACATTAATTCTAAGATATAGAACTATACACCATCATATCGTTGTGTCAACAACAACAATATATATTGGTTCGGATCACGTACAAATAAGTACAATCGGTGCTTATTGTGTAAATATTTGTACGGTGAATCTTTACATTATTTGTATTAACGTTCAAAGTGTTCCATATTATTTTGCAATGAAATAAGGAGTTGCATATTAACGTTCAATGTATTGCATTCTGAAAAAAATTATTTTACATATTGAGTCTCAAGCGCATCCAAAAGTAAAGACTTTAGATACCGCGGGGTTGGGATGTTATAGTTGTTGTATGGATCCAATGCCGGTTTGATCCTAGGTCTGGCACCAGTTTGGTCTCAATCGGAATTTACATAGTTTCCGTCCTTTTACTTCAGCGATTGACTCGGAAGTGTCATTTTTCCTCTTTGACTTGTGACTTCTTTTTCTCACCATTTGACCATAATTTAAATCTTTAAACATCTTGGGGTTTTATGTGTTCCTCCTTTTCCTTGTACTCATTACTACAGCTACTTCGGTACAAATAAATAACTATTGTGTCAATCATATATCTTGATGAAAGACTGGCCGACTTTGAAAATAATGTTTACGAAACACGATGAGAGAGTCAGTATAACCACTACACATGAACCTCCATTCACAGGATGATCAATTACATGTGTAATACTGCTCATTTCATAGATGATTAGAGGAAATTCTCCTAGATAATATTGCTCAAAGGGGGTGCTTTGCTAAAGCTCTAGAAAATTGCCTCCTTAGAGAGAGATTTGAAAATTGTTTTTACTGTGACTATTGATAATGCTAGCAATAATGATACTTCCTCTTGAGTTTTCGGAAAGAAAAAAAAAACTAATTTCGTGTTGTATCACACACATTGAACTTGCTTGACAGCACTATTTTTTAATTGTATGCCCATCCTATCTCGATTCTCGAAGTCCGACCTGGTACTGTTTCGGCCCGGCTCGGTACCGGTACAAACATGGGCCGGTACCGAGCCTGAAATCGTTAAACCCAAAGCCCGCCCAGTCCCATCCCGAAGCCCGGCCCAGTCCCGTCCCAGTCCATCCCTAGTCCTGAAAATGAGCTTATTGACCCTAAAGACAAGTTTGAGTATACACGATTTTAACTCAATGTTTTTTATGTGGCGAAACAAAAGGTGCACTTCTTTCTAAAGACAAAGAGAGGTCTGAAACTTGGTCTGAGTCCATGTGAAAAGGGATCTAAAATTCACTTCTTAGCATACCGTTACTCTGCCGATTTTCTTACTTAATTCATACTTGTGCTTTCCAACTTCTTACTTGAATCCTACTACGCCCAATCCCCAAGGATCCTTAGTAAGGTTTCCTATACTTTCTACGATGGCTCGAGAAGTACTTGGTGTTCCCATTTCCACAATTTCTCTTGAGTTCACATTTAGTACAAGTGACAGGGGTTTAAACTCTTTTAGGAGTTCATCAAGTGTAAAAGTTGTGATAGCACTTATTTGTGCACAAGTTTGATTGAGAATGGCTAATCTGCCTCTCGCTTGAAGAAAACCTTGATGAAGTAGAGAGGCTAGAAAAAGATATACTTGTTATGCACTATGATACTTTTTTTTATAAAATATATTGTTCTATGTTCTAACAATTTGCATGGTCAACAATTTGGGGGACACATTAATTTATACAGGAATGCTCTCTGTGTTGAATACAATAGAGTCCTAACTGGAAAATTGGAGTGGGACTCCACAAAACATTCATATATGTGCATATGCTAAAAGTTTTAGGCAAATACAGCAAAAAGAGATATTGAACTCTAACCCATGATGGATATTCACATATGCTAAAAACACTGGATTAGATGCTGGGGATGGATCAACAGGGATATCGGGAGGACTTCTTCAACTGCTGAATCATGCATTTCACTGCTTCCTGCAAAGTAGCCTTTTTTCCAGCACTAAGGTTCCACAGCTCTGGAGTTATGTATCGCCCGCTAGGGTTGTACTCGTTTAAGTCCAACAGGGCAGCAATGACAGCTTTATATGGTGCATCACCCAATTGGTATTTCAGTTCTTTCAAGGCTAGATCGTCTTCATTTATTACTTCCTGCATATGCCATTAACTAATAACTATGCAGGGAAATAATATCATGATTATGATATTTAGAAAGGTAAGACCAACATATCACAGATGAATAGATGGCTTGCAAAGATGATAATCACAACTCTGAGTTCCTAGTTTCCTACTTCAGATTACAACGTACAATATATATCATTTCCAAAACCTGATTGTGCTTGTCATGCTGGCAGTGCCCGGCACTCATACATATGAATGGAGCTGAAGAGTCTTCAAATAGATATGAGGCATAAAATGAGTTTTCTACAAAGAGGGGCACATATTTGGTCACCCACAACCAAGTTTAATCATAGGATGCACACTAAATCAACTGAACTTTATCAACCAAATTTTATACCAAACTTATTTTACAAAAAAAATGCGCTCATGCACCCATATCCCTATCCCTAAGGGTCCTCAATGACTTTATATTTTTTATATAGTCTGTCTTGATGCGGTGCTCTCTGTTACATACAGCTAATCCATCTTCTACATTAAAGTCCAAGGCAAGCTACTCTCGCAAGGAAGCCGATGAAGAGAAGAAAGGGGGGGGGGGGGGAGCATACCTGCAATTTTCCATCTTTCTCTATTGTTTTGAAAGGGTGCCAGTTCGGGTTGTTCACCATCTCCTGCCACCAAGAGCTCAGTTTGGTAGCTTTCACCTCCCAATCATGCTGACCAAATTTACGTATGCAGACATTTTGAAAAGGTGTCTGATCGATCTCACCCATCCTCTTTATCACAACTTTTGCTGTACTCATTAGGTCAGGCCAAACCTGCATGAAAGCATCCGGTTTAAGAAAAACTAACTTATCTACATTGCTACCCTTTGTGCCCATTTATTTTCTCCCCTCCAAACAGATGCAGCCTTGTATTGAATGGATTTAGTAATAATTGATTTTGATTGTTTTAATAATACATGGCTTCATGTGACCTGCTGAGGGCTACTGAAATTGTGTATGGTATTGACTGTTGAGCATTCGACGTCGGAGGTTTACTGATTCAAGCCAATTATATATGTGAACTTCACGACTTCACCCTTTTAGAATCTTTGGGTGAGTGAGGCCCAGCTTAACGTGGTATAAAAAGGGTCCTGTGGTGGTCTATGTAGCACGGAAACTCTCAGAAAAGAGTACGTTTCCCGTTTCGGAAACTCTCGGAAACTCTTTGGAAACTCTCCAAATAAGCCCTTTTTGAGCAAAAGTTGACGTTTTCCGTTTCCCGTTTCCTCATGATATTTGCGTTTCCGTGCAACATAGGTGGTGGTTAGTGAGGTGTCTACCCACTGGATGGTTTGGGTCAACCTGTTGAGTATCCTACACCGGATTTCTATTGTGTGTGGCCTAGTCCAGTGCATCTCTTATTCGACGTCGGAGGTTTACTGATTCAAGCCAATTATATATGTGAACTTGTAGAAATTCAAACCAGCTGGCTATATAGGGCAAGAATAATAGTTTCTCCTATTATTGTGGATCTAGAGTATCTTGAGATCTTATTTCCTATTATTGTGGATCTAGAGTATCTTGAGATCTTATTTGATATATATGTATAGCTGTATATTTCTTTCCTTAATGGTAGGAGTAGTTCCTAGAAATCAGGATCAGTTCAAAGGGATCCTTGTGTATAAATATACCCAAATTCATCATAATACACAAGAGAGATAATTCCAAATTCTGATCTCCTTCATGGTATCAGAGACTCCGGGCACTTGAAACCCTAATCTATTCCCTGTTTTCCCATCTTCGAGCCCCTCCTCTTTCTCTCTCGGAAATCCAGTCAAACATGGTGGAATCCGAGCAGACCTCCAGGGACTCATCCTCACCGATCACTCCATCTCCGAGCAATCCTGTCACTACTCAGATCTCTCCCGAAACCATTGTCAATCCCATCATCAACCACAAACTAAATGGCCACAACTATCTCCAATGGTCTCACTCCATGATGATGTTTATCAGTGGACGAGGCCGTGATGATTATCTTACCGGTAAGGCTGTCCAACCGGATTCCAGTGACCCTAAGTTTAGAACCTGGAGAGCAGAAAACAATCTAGTTATGTCTTGGTTGATTAGCTCGATGACTACTGAGATAGGGGAGAATTTCCTCCTTTACACCTCAGCCAAAGAAATATGGGACGCGGCACATGACACCTTCTCCAGCAGTGAGAATACCGCAGAACTCTTCCATGTGGAGAGTATTCTACATGATCTAAGGCAAGGGGAAAACACAGTCACCGCTTATTTCACCACCCTTACACGGTATTGGCAGCAGGTGGATCTCTTTGACTCACACGAATGGAAGTGCCCTGATGACAGAAGCTACTTCAAACGAATAGTAGAGACCAAACGCATCTTCAAGTTTCTAATGGGACTTGATAAGTCTCTTGATGAAGTGCGAGGTCGAATACTCGGAACCAAACCATTGCCAAGTCTCCGCGAGGCCTTTTTCCAGGTTCGTCAAGAGGAAAGCCGCAGAAGAGTCATGATGGGGCAGTCAAATGGCCCGACCATCGATGATGGATCTGCCCTTGCGACTGTCAAAGATCACTTAGTCACTGCCGAGTCTGCTGCCTGTGCTGCCCGAGGGATGCTCCAATCACCAGGAGATAACCGGCCACGAAGAGGACGCCCTTGGTGTGACCATTGCAAGAAACCTGGTCATGTCAAAGAAACCTGCTGGAAACTACATGGTAAACCAGCAGATTGGAAGCCGAACAGGGCCACATCTGATCGTGAGAGCCGGGTAAACGCTGCCTCCATGGAGGCAACAAAATCCCAGAGTCAAGTTCCCTTCACAAAGGACCAGCTGGAACTGCTTCAGCATCTACTCAGCAAAACCAGCCTATCAATCAGCCCACAGCCACCGGAATCAGGGAGCAGATTCACGCACGGTAATGGAAACCAGGCCCTACATGTAACTCAGCCTCCATCTACGCCTTGGATAGTAGACTCAGGCGCATCAGACCACATGACAGGTGATAGATCATTGTTCTCAACTTATACTCCGTGCCAGAAGTATCAAACAGTACGAATTGCCAATGGTTCACGCTCGAGAGTTGCTGGAATAGGAACCATACACCTCTCGAGCAAACTTACCCTACACTCTGTGTTATTTGTACCCGAACTTGATTGTAACCTACTCTCTGTTAGCAAAATTAACCAGGATATTCATTGTGAGACTAAATTTTTTGCCAAATCTTGTGTTTTTCAGGACTTGGGTTCGGGGAAGGTGATTGGCAATGCTGAACTGTGTGCAGGCTTGTATCTCCTCAGAGTAGACTCCTCTTCTGTCCCCACTCAAAGCCACAATAATGGCAGTGTCAAACCACAGTGTTGGTCCATTCAGAGTCATGAGTCAATAAATTTGTCCAATAAGACCGATGCCATAATGTTATGGCACTATCGTCTAGGTCATCCAAATTTCTTGTACTTGAAACATCTATTTCCATCATTATTCATTAATAAAGATGCCAAGTTATTTCAATGTGATGTTTGTCAATTCTCAAAGCATACTAGAACTACATACATGCCACGACCTTACACACCGACTCATCCTTTTTCACTTATCCACGGTGACATATGGGGTCCAACCCGAATTCCTAATGTGTCTGGGGCTAGATGGTTTCTGTTGCTCGTTGACGACCATACCCGGTTGAGCTGGACTTTTCTCATGAAAGACAAAACCGAAACTAGCCAAATCTTCAAACACTTTCATGCCATGATACGCACCCAATTTCAGGCCACCATCCAAGTGCTCAAAACCGATAATGCACGAGACTTCTTTAACTCAATTCTCAGCCCTTATCTCCAAACTTCGGGCATTGTCCACATAAGCTCATGCGTAGACACACCCCAACAAAATGGTGTGGCTGAACGCAAAAATCGTCATATCCTTGAGGTTGCTCGCTCACTACTCTTCCAATCAAATGTGCCCAAAAAATTCTGGGGTGAGGCAGTCCTCACCGCCACATACCTTATCAATCGGATGCCCTCACGTGTTCTTAAATTCAAAACTCCAGTCAAAACCTTCCTTGCCGCCTATCCTAACTCACATTTACTCTCCCAAATTCCTCTCAAAATATTTGGATGCACTACCTTTATCCACATCTACCCTCACAGCCGAGGAAAACTTGATGAAAGAGCACTCAAATGCATCTTCCTCGGCTACTCACCAAACAAGAAAGGATATAAATGTTTCTCCCCTCTTACCAAAAGATTCTATCACACCATGGATCTCACCTTCTTCGAAAATAAACCATTCTATCCCAATTCTGTAATTCAGGGGGAGACAACCACCAAACATGAATCACAAAATTGGGACTGGACATCCTTCATTGATTCGGTCCCTAGTCCAAATTACTATAACCCGGTGGAAACCCCAACCAGCCAAATTCTAACAGACTCCAGCCAGCCTCTAACCAATCTGCAACCTCCAGCAGGTCCTAGCCGGCTTTCAACTCCCTATGCCACCTCTCCATGTTCACATGAGTCTCTGAAAACTCCCAAATCATCCTCCCATGAGTCTGTCATACACCCAAAACACCTCCTTCTACCTGATGAGGAAGTAAGAGTCTACACTAGGAGACAACAATCTCAGCCGCCTGCCCAGAATCAGCAAAACCAGCAGCCGAATCCGAACTCAAGAAACCCAGAAACAACACAGGATGAAGCTGAAATAAGTGTTGAGGCAATGACAGGTGGGGATCCTGAGTTAGACTTACCAATTGCTCAGAGAAAAGGAGTCCGCTCGTGTACTCAACATCCCATCCGTAACTACATGACCTACTCCAAACTGTCACAGAGATTCAGGGCATGTGTGACTGCTCTAGACAATGTCCAGATTCCTAGAACAGTCCATGATGCATTAAGGGTTCCCAAATGGAGAGATGCTACTCTAGAAGAACTCCATGCTCTAGAGAAGAATGGTACGTGGGTCTTAACAACTCTACCACCTGGAAAGAAAACAGTGGGGTGCAAATGGATTTTTTCGGTAAAACAGAAAGCAGATGGAAGTATTGAACGATTCAAAGCTCGTCTTGTAGCCAAGGGCTACACCCAATCGTATGGAATTGACTACCAGGAAACATTCGCTCCTGTAGCCAAACTCAACACCGTGCGAGTCTTGTTGTCCATTGCCGGGAACTTAGTTTAAAAAAGCGCGCCTGAGGCGCGCAAAGGCGCGAGGCGCTTACAGGCGAAGAGGTCATCGCCCTTTACATAGCCAGGCGGCTTAGGGTCTAAGAGGCGTGCGCTTCTAGCGCTTATTAGCGCCTTTTGCGCTTCTGAGAGGCGAGCGCCTTTTCCGCCTCATGGATGTCTCTGTTGAATTGCTGGCGATTCCCATTCCTATTATTTTGTCGATTCAAATTCTGGTTCCAGAAATTTCCTGCGGTGGTATTATAAATTGACAAGGTAAGTTCTCACCCCTCACGCCAAACTCCAAGACTCCAAGTTCTCTAGTCTTCTTCCTTCCTTCTGCGTTTGGTCTTCCTTCTGCGTTTGGTCTTCGGATATATCTGCGTAACTCTGCCTCCCAGTTCCTACTTTATTTGCGCTTCTATCACGCGTTGCAGAGCCAACAGAGGTAAGTCTACTTATTTTTTTTATCTTCTTTTATTTATTCTCTTTTATTTTAAATTACTATTACTATTAACAGTTTTTATATAACCTAATTATTTAATTTATCACAAAATGACTACCAATTTATCACAGTTTATTACATTAATTAGTTAAATTACTATTAACAGTTTTTATATAACTTAATTATTTAGTTTATCACAAAATGACTATTAATTTATTACAGTTTATTACATTAATTATTTAAATTACTATTAACAGATTTTATACAACTTAATTATTTAATTTATCACAAAATGGCTATTAATTTATCACAGTTTATTACATTAATTATTTAAATTATTATTAACAGTTTTTATATAACTTAATTATTTAATTTATCACAAAATGACTATTAATTTATTACAGTTTATGACATTGATTATTAAATTACTATTAACAGTTTTCATACAACTTAATTATTTAATTTATCACAAAATGACTATTAATTTATCACAGTATATTACATTAATTATTTAAATTATTATAAACAGTTTTTATATAACTTAATTATTTAATTTATCACAAAATGACTACTAATTTATCACAGTTTATTACATTAATTATTCAAATTAACATATATTTATCACAGTTTATCACAGTTTTTATTGTCTTTAATTAATATTTTGTTTCTCTTATGATGTTTATTAAGATTGTTTAATAGTTTGAAGTATTTTTGAGAAGTGTGCTTCATGTAGAAGTACTAAAAATATATTTAACGATGGAAATGTGGCTGAGATCCTTGAGGCGCGCGCCTCACCGCCTCGCGCCTCGCGCCTCGGGTAAATCAAAGAAATCGCCTCAAGGTGCCTCTCGCCTTTTAAAACCAAGGCCGGGAACCAAGATTGGCCCTTATTTCAACTAGACGTGAAAAATGCCTTCCTGAACGGAGACCTAGTAGAAGAAGTGTATATGGATATCCCACCTGGCTTCGAAACTGATCAAACACAAGGCAAAGTATGTAGACTACGCAAGTCACTATATGGGCTCAAGCAATCGCCTCGGGCATGGTTCGACAGATTCACAAGGGTACTTAAACAGGATGGCTACCTACAGTCCCAAGCCGATCATACTCTATTCTTCAAACATTTCACCGATGGTAAGATCACTATACTAATAGTATATGTTGATGATATAGTCCTCACTGGGAACTATGACGAAGAAATAAGAAGACTCAAGCTCCTATTGTCAAAAGAGTTTGAAATCAAGGATTTGGGACATCTAAGGTACTTCTTGGGAATGGAAGTAGCGAGATCAAAGGCCGGAATTGCAGTATCCCAGCGGAAGTATGTCTTAGATCTCTTAAAGGAAACCGGCATGATTGGATGTAGGCCGACAGACACTCCTATGGACCCGAACATAAAGTTGATGCCTCGAACAGAAGAGATGGCTGTGGATAAAGAACAATATCAACGTCTAGTTGGGAAGCTAATTTACTTAACTCACACACGTCCTGATATCAGTTTTGCAGTCAGCCGTGTGAGTCAATTCTTAAGCAACCCGTCGGTCTCCCACATGGAAGCTGTGTATCGTGTTCTTAGATACCTCAAGAGGGATCCTGGAAAGGGTCTAATGTTCAAAAAGACTCACAATCACTCTCTAGAAGTCTACACAGATGCGGATTGGGCTGGATCCCCTAGTGACCGAAAATCAACTTCAGGGTATTGCTCCTATGTGTGGGGAAATCTAGTGACATGGCGTAGCAAAAAGCAACAGGTGGTAGCACGCAGCAGTGCTGAGGCAGAATTCCGAGCCTTAGCTCAAGGCATTTGTGAAGGAATATGGTTAAAACGGCTACTAGATGAACTCAAAGTGAACATTTCTGGACCTATAGACATTATGTGTGATAACCAATCAGCCATAGCCATTGCCAAAAACCCGATCCATCATGACAGAACAAAGCATGTTGAGATTGACAGACACTTCATCAGCGAGAAGATAGAGAGCAAGGTTATTGCACTAAAACATGTTTCATCCAGGAATCAAGTGGCAGACATTCTCACAAAGGCACTCTTTCGACCAAACTTCACTGAACTAAGTTCAAAACTTGGTTTAATGAGTATATACCAGCTAGTTTGAGGGGGAGTGTAGAAATTCAAACCAGCTGGCTATATAGGGCAAGAATAATAGTTTCCTATTATTGTGGATCTAGAGTATCTTGAGATCTTATTTCCTATTATTGTGGATCTAGAGTATCTTGAGATCTTATTTGATATATATGTATAGCTGTATATTTCTTTCCTTAATGGTAGGAGTAGTTCCTAGAAATCAGGATCAGTTCAAAGGGATCCTTGTGTATAAATATACCCAAATTCATCATAATACACAAGAGAGATAATTCCAAATTCTGATCTCCTTCAGAACTTGATAGGAACATAGATAATAATACTAATAAGAATACTAGAATAGTAGATACTAATAAATGGGCCTGTTATAATGGGCTTGTACTATAAATAGATAGGGAAGGGGTGGAAAAGGAGGCAGGCATGTATTCAGTTGAAATTGGCTAGGTTTGGAGAGTAGAGGCCTCTCGAAGTGCCCTATCTGTATACACGAATTACTTCTATACAGTTTCTTGATATTTTCTTGATCAATTCTTCCTGATTTCATACTGTTCTTAGTTAATTACACCAAGATTCTATCAATGGTATCAGAGCACTAGTTCTGGTGATCGGAGACTGTGTAGCATCACCAGAAATTTTTTTCGTTCCAGTTTTAGAATGGTCTGGACAAGAGCCAAAAAAATGGAAGAGCAAATGGAGACGATGGAACGTCGTCAAGTTGCGATGAAACATAATCAAGAGGCGATGGATGCAACCTTGCTACGGATGAAAACGATGGTGGCAAAATTGGCGGAAAAGATGGATGCGATGAGAGATGAAATCCACGAGAACAGGAGGTCGCGATCTCATCATCTACATCAATCGCGACATGAATGGTCCCAGTCAACTGCGCAGGTGTATTCTCAATCGCGAGAAACTCTTTCCCGTTCTAAGATTCTGTCGCGAACTGTTTATCCTCAATCATCTCCATCACAAGTTTGTTCTTCCAGTTCATTGCTAAGTGCAACGCGACTGAGAGGAGAAACTTCACAATCGCAGTCGCGTACAGTGATTACAGGTTCATATCACAGTTCACAATCGCAAACCCCATCTTCCAGTTCGAAATCGCGAACTCATTCTCTCATTTTTCCAAGATCTCAGACTTCCTCTCTTGCGGTCTCGCACAACTTGTCTTCGCTAGATATCATTCACCCGATGCCATTTTCATTGCTTGGAACCCCAACACCTACACGGAGCCCTGAGTTGAAGCAGACGTTGTCTAAATCTTCGGTTCAAGAATTGGAAAAGACGGAGGATATTCAGGAAGGGGCAGAAAGCGTTGACCCACCAGACATTCTGGAGGAGTCCAAAAAGCATAAATCAGATAATCTTACCCATGAAGTTCAAAGGTATACTAGGGCCTTAGACAGAAACCCAGAAGATTTTAAACCTGGGATTGGTAGCATTCTGGAACTTGGATTGGGTGGTCTTAAGGAAACTATGCAACCTTGTTTACTAAACAATAGTTTGGAAGAGCTGAATAAGACCGATGGTTTCAGATTTGATAGTGATACTTGTATGAAGTATATTCAAAATAGAATGGGGTTTATACTTGCTGGGAATTATACGAAATATGGTACTGTAAATGCCTTGAATGAAGGATTTCTTGACAACAACAAATGTGCAACAATAATTGTGCATAACCGGGATGAGTTGGCAAACTGTGTCATTACTCTTCTGCAGTTAACAGAACAGCAGGTCCACACAGGGTTGAAGAATACCAAAGCTTCGAGTTTTCAGAATCACAAGTTCCTTCAATTCAGTAAAGACATGGATACATTCAGTGCTGGGAATGATGGTTTGTTTCTGGAAAGTCTGGAAGCAACAATATCAAAGCAGTTAACAGTTACAGAAAGAAAAGAACAGCAAAAGGAGCTATTTGTTGCTAATGAAGGCTCAAAGGCGACCGAAGAAAATAAAACTTCTCCAGATATAACTTCTGCAACAGAAACATCCTTCATTTTTAAGTTTCAAGCATTGAAGCACATGCTCAAATCAACAGGGAGATACTGGGAAGGAAGAGGCGCGAGAAAGAAGTTGAATGGCATGGCGGGTTCTTACTCCCCACCTTGAGGACAAGGTGGTTGTTGAGGGGGGGAGTATTGATAGGAACATAGATAATAATACTAATAAGAATACTAGAATAGTAGATACTAATAAATGGGCCTGTTATAATGGGCTTGTACTATAAATAGATAGGGAAGGGGTGGAAAAGGAGGCAGGCATGTATTCAGTTGAAATTGGCTAGGTTTGGAGAGTAGAGGCCTCTCGAAGTGCCCTATCTGTATTACTGTATACACGAATTACTTCTATACAGTTTCTTGATATTTTCTTGATCAATTCTTCCTGATTTCATACTGTTCTTAGTTAATTACACCAAGATTCTATCAGAACTTCACGACTTCACCCTTTTAGAATCTTTGGGTAAGTGAGGCCCAGCTTAACGTGGTATAAAAAGGGTCCTGTGGTGGTTAGTGAGGTGTCTACCCACTGGATGGTTTGGGGCAACCTGTTGAGTATCCTACACCGGATTTCTATTTTTTGTGGCCTAGTCCAGTGCATCTCTTATCGATTGTCTACTATGTTTGAGAGTTCGAGTCTAGACTAGTATATAAATGTGAAGTGATCTTCACGTCAGATTCAGGATGTTTTTACTTAGACTGTAATTTGCTGGTCTAATTTGGTCTGAACTGGCTTGGTCTGGTTTCTTTGTATTTTTATAACTATCCAAGTCTGGTCTGGTCTAGGACAGAGTCCAGTCCAAGTAAAAACATCCCCACTTGAGGTGAGCTAAGACCAATTTAACATATAAAAACACTTACATTGATCAATTCCCTGCGAGCTTCTTGCAATTCAGTGTTACTCATGCGCTCCTTGAGCATGAGAGTCTGGTTTAGATCTTCCGCATCATGAAGTTCATCATCTTTCTCAGCTAGTTTTTCTTTCAATTCATTTATCTCCTGAACTTAATATGGTATTAAAAATAAATTGAAATGCCATATAGATTGAAAAAAATCTGAAAAGTGGATTAATAGAATACCGGTAAGTCGGTAACATAATAGGACTTCAACTTTGACAAAAGCTATGTCCCTGTTATATGCCTAAATGCTTGCAAAAGCACTCAAAACTAATGACTATGTCAATCAGCAAGCACTAAGGATGTTTTTATTTAAACTGTTTCCAGTCTCAAACTAGACTAGACTTAAATAGACCAGACCAGACTTCCAAAGTTATAAAATACACAGAGACTAGACATTTACCAGATCAGACCAAACTCAAACAGACCACACCAACAAATTTCAATCCAAGTAAAATCATCCTAACTTGCCAGTGTGCAATGCATTCAACCATCAATGGCACACCATAAGATAGTCAAAGATTAGAAGCATGAATTTTCAATTATCAACTAACAAATAAAACATGAATATATGACTTTAACAATCTATCATGCAATCATCGTTAAACACTTAAACTATATTCAGGACTGAATTGAAAAAATATTAACCTGAACCTGAACACTTTGAATATACGGAGTATGAATTAAAACATGAAGATTTTAAAAAAGTTTCCCCTCTGACCCTATCTTTTTCATTCTGTCCCAAAATCATCCTTGGTTTCCTCTTAAGTAAAAAATTATGTGGTTCACTCTTCAAATTATTTCTTTCTCCTCTACATAGGTTTCAACCACATGGTTTTTTTCACTTGATCACTGTGCCAGACAAATTGTTGGTTAATTTAGTGAGAGGAGTAATATATTACGGAGTAAAAAATACGAGCGGAAACTCAAAATATCAAATTCATTTCACAATATATTAATTTTTTATATGATGTGACAACCAAGACAGTTCATGTTTATATCCTATATATATAAACTGTGTTAACTTTTTAAGTCTTAAACTGAAGCAACAGTAATTGTAGTATTGTACACAAGAAATTGTAGTTATATATTAGCGCTTTGGTTGAAAAAAATGCTATATTACTTGTAAATGTGTAATCATTGTGCATAATAATTCTTACTAAAACTTAAAATTGTACACAAAGGCCCTCTGGTATAAGTATACTGCAGCTATATATAGATATTAAAGTATACTACTTTACTGTAACTGTACCCCCCCCCCCTTCAGAATAATTTCTGAATATGCCATCGTCTCAGCCAATAGGAATGGAATAATTTATTTAGAATAACTTCATTTACAAGGTAACATGAAACAGAGTAAGAAAGAACTAGTCAGTAGTCACTGTTCTTGGCAAATTGCAACCATAAATACTTGTTACTAATTGCACATAAATAACATTAGGAGTGAGCAACAAAACAAACAAAGTTCCATTAACCTTGCCCTCAATGGAATTACCAAGCACAAAATGCAATGAAATGGCATTACCGTTTCCTTCTGAAAAAGCAAGGCTTCAAGTTCATGGACACCGAGATTCTTTTCTTCAGGCATTTTAGGCTGCTGTAATTCTTCTTGCATATGGAGCATCTGCTTCTTCAACTGCAGATTTTCTTGTTCAAGGTCACTTACCTTTTGTTTTTGGAGATTCAATTCTTTTTCCAATTCCTCAATTTGCAGCTCAACAATTTGTGCCTTCTTTTTTGCTGAACAAATGAGAAAGTTAATAAATAAATAAGACCTCTTTATTTTCCATTTCCTTTTGCATCACTATTGCAGTTATAGTCCTACGATGACAAATAATTGGAAACAAATTCATCAGATCTCAAAAAATTATAGGCAACTGAATTGGTAATGCTATCATATGATGGGAATAAACTAACACTTTTAGATTTATATTTTGACTGCACAAACAGAGATGGAAGAAAAGAAAGAAGTACCATAGAAGAAAGAATAAGTAAAATTTTAGTGACTTTGCAATGGCAAAGGTTTGGAAAGAAACAAAAAAGAAAGAAAGGTTTATTTTTCTTCTAAAGAAGAATTAATCCTTGGCTTTATATGGATAAGGTGAGATAGGAAAATAAATCACGGTTAAAATGGAAATTGATCTCATTCTCTCCTTTGCGTCTTTTCCAAGTTTTCACTGCACTTATCAAAAGAATTTGTGTGTCGGGTGAGGAGCTCAGGAGCCATGAATTTTCTCGCTTCACTTACATTTCTCTCCATCCAAACAACAAAAGATTATATGTTATATCCCATTCCTCTTCAATACATTTCCAATTTTCCTATTCACTTGGTCAACACAAATCACTCTTAATCTCTTACTTTATATAACAAATTTTTATCAAATTTGATTCTGGTTTTTGGGACTTTGTAAAGCTTTTAATGTAGTTTATGAATATGTAATTATTTTTTCCTAAACATAATTTGAGTGCAGACAGGGATCCATTTGATTTATCGCCGGTCAAACATCGTAAACCGTAAAGTGTCTTACAATTCAAAACGGAGGGAGTATTACATTAGTGGACATACAAAATAGAAATAATCAACTCTATTGCTCTCTCAGTCCTGCAATGAAGTCCTCAATTTGAGTAGGAAAGACATTACGGATAGCTAATTTTTGCTTCTGATTTTCTAATAAAAAATGATGTTTGTACCCACTTTTATACCCACTTTTGTACTCACCTATGTTTGTGAAGTGTTTTTTGTTTGTCTGTGGTTCACAGACAATATTTTGCACAAAAAAAATATTGTTTGTGAACTGGGATCACAGACAAAAAAACACTTCACAAACATGGTGGGTATAAGGTGGGTATATGAGTGGGTACATCAAGCATTGTTGTTTTCTAATAGTGCCCCTAGTTTATTACTATAAACTCATAACGTGGTGTATCAATGTCTTTTACATATTAAATTTTTGTCTTGTCATTTATGGGAATGCGAACTTATTTTAGGGGCACTCGTAAAAGAAAACTAGTAGCCGGCTGAAAGGAGGGATTATAATGTTATACATGCAAAAAACACTAAAATTTAGCAACTTTACTAAAATGTTACACATACTGCTTCTGGAAGAGTGCCCACGCTTTGTTTTGGAAGTTGAGTTGCTTGAAGGACCAGCAATATCATTACCTAGCATTACACAAGCAAGATGGAAGATTTAAAGTATAAGTGATTGGATTAAGCATTTATTTTAGTTGTAATCCTGAACGAATTATAAAATACCAGTTGAAGGTGTCATGATTTCAAAAACTGCGGAATCGAATTTTTTCCTTTGCTCTTCCTCCAAACGAGCTGTCTGACGACTCTCTTCCATGGCTTGTTTAAGGTAGAACTTTTCAAGCTCCGTCAATCCCTCATCCCCAGAATAATCAACATCCATGTGACTACTCTCATCTCCACAAAGCTTAGCTTGCATATACCTATTTCCTTCCATTTCGAAAACATCAGAAAGTGTTTCTTTTTTTCTTCCCTTTGTAAGATTTCTCATCAACATATGTGAAACTGCTTTTGGAGCTGATGGACAGGGTTCCGCAGTCCCAGGTGCATGTGCAATGTGTCGTTTTAATTGTGTAATCCCATCTATGATTTTGCGGCAGTAATTGCATTGTGGAAGTTTTCTGTTACCTTCAAATGGTGTGGCATGTTCCCAAGCAATGTCAAGTTTTGGAGCCATTCTACAATAAACTAATCAAAGATATTTTATCTAAATAACTTAAGTTTTAATAATAATTACACAATTACACAAAACTAGTGTACAATATCCTTTCATCTTTAACAAGCAAATACTGCATCGAGCAATCAATTTTTTGGTGGAAATGTGCATATATATGCACTAATCATTATTGTCCTACAATGAAGAAAAAAGAAGCAAGTCCCACCAGAGATGCTATAAAACTAGTACACTTATTATCCACTTGTAAACTATGTTCTTTAGGTTTGATTATGAGTTAACCTGGTATAGTGGTATGTTTACCATTTTATGACCAGAAGCAACGATTAGATAGGACCTAGGTTTACCTCAAAGAACAGCAGAAAACCTCCAATAATACCCAGTTTTGGAGATTAGAGAACATCCAATTTCCAAATCAGAGGTTAATTTTGCTTTATAAATAATTTTAAGTTTTTAACATGTTCACCTGGCTTAACCTTCATCAGACAAACATGTACTGCATTCACCTAAGTTGCCTTGATAATTTTAAATTATCCATACAACATTTCTGTATATGCAATTGGGTTCACCTAGATTCACTTATGTTCACCAGGTTTACTTAAGTTAACTCTATACAAGCGGACTGTCGGTCCATTTGGTAGGCACAATAGCCTTATTAAGCCTATTTGGAAAGGAAGCATATAATATGTAGCTTAGACATATTTAGTCAAACAAATATACTACCAAACCCTTTTCCTTGAAAAAAAACAGAAGATTCAGTAATTTGAGACAAATAACTCTTGCCAAACTGTCTCCCAGTTAGAGTTCAAGATTACATTAGGATAGCCTCACTCGATAATACTAAGCATGAATGGTTTGACTCAACCTTTAAATGAAAATGCTTCAAAAATGTTTGCTTCAGAGTTCAGATTTCATAAATACTACTCCATATAATTATTACCAGTTGAGTACAAAGAAGCTCTGGTATAAGAGAGTAACACAGTTCGATGATAAGCAGCCAGATGAAAGCAATCTTACAATTGATGAGTTCCCTATTCATACATCCTAATGAAAGGAATACAACACTTCTTTCCAACTTCAAAACAACATTACCCACTCAACAGTTTCCAACTTGAATAAGGAAAATAAAATAAAAATGCCCAAATTCCAGTTTATAGATGGAGCAAGCATAACCCCATTCAGAAAGCGGTCTTACCCTCTTCTGTTCAGACTTCAGAGTATTTTAATCTATATCCACGTATCATTGACATATTATAAGAGAAACTGTTCAAGAAAAAGAGTAAAGAATGCAAAATGGTTTCTGGTGAAAATGTATGTACAATTACAAGATTCAGGAAAAGACAAACCTCACCTTTTAGCAGCAGATTACTACTAAAAAAAAGGCCAGACAGAGAAAATCTACGGGAAAATAATAAAATTGACCAGAGCAGAGGCCTGGATTAAAAACAGTGAAAGTTAGAGCTTTTAACTTGAGTGAGCTGAAGACGAAAGAAGCTCATTTACCCTAATTTGATTCAAATTTAATTACTTTACTTTATTTGGCCAAAGATCCAGCCACCGCTACTGTAGTGATATCAGCCGGGTCCGATCCGAAAAATCGCCCGTTTTCCTATAGATTCCGGTAAGCCAACATCGGATTCCGCTGTACAATTGAGTCGCAATGCGAAATGCACAACGCGGGGGGCGTCTGTTCAAATTTTTTGTTTTATGTTCCTCTGTTCGGTTTTGTACTTGGCTGGACTGTGATTTGCTGATACTTCAGATACAAACAATATCTACGGTTGAGGAGAACAACTGCGTAGATACTGTAGTATAGTACACTAATTAGGTGCCTATATTTTATCCACACATAACTAAAAGAGTTTTTTACCAAAATACGGGAAAGTCCCGTCTGACAAGCCAAAACACGGGAGTGTGAACTAGGTTACCATATTACGTGAATCGGATTTGGCAAATCCGACTAGGGGAGGAGGGTTTTCGAATTGGGTGTTTTACCTTGGGAAATCCGACTAGGGTAGATAGAATTGTTTTTCATTTTCAAAATCTAGAAATTTAGAAATTGTGTTAGATTTAGAATTTGAGTTCAAAACCTTTGAATTTATAAATTTGTTCAATTTAGATTTAGAGTTCTATTTCGAATTTATGAATCATTGGAATTTTAGAGTTGAACTTAGCTATAAAAATCTAGAAATTTAGAAATTGTGTTAGATTTAGAATTTGAGTTCAAAACCTTTAAATTTATAAATTTGTTCAATTTAGATTTAGAGTTCAAATTTCGAATTTATGAATTATTGGAATTTTAGAGTTGAACTTAGCTATAAAAATCTAGAAATTTAGAAATTGTGTTAGATTTAGAATTTGAGTTCAAAACCTTTGAATTTATAAATTTGTTCAATTTAGATTTAGAGTTCAATTTCGAATTTATGAGTTTATAACTACTTATTTTAGGAATTTCAAATGGACCAAAACATTCCGCGCCCAGGGCCTGTTAAACGTTCACTACTCACGTTGCCACTGCGTGCCCACCGCGCGAGTTATGAGGACTGTCAAAAACGACTACAGCGGATGGCCCTGGATGTAGGTGATGAAGACATGCTCCACCGGGGCATATCTCTAAAATCTTATAAAGACCAATAAGGGTCAGGGTCTTTTAGGTATTAAAAATGTGTTGGTGTAACTCTATAGCATTATTATATTGTAAGTTCTGCTCAAGATGTTGTACGTTAATGTTTACTCCCACCTATCTCCGTAGCTTCCGTTAATTGAAACTTCCGTTAATTATCAACTTCTGTTAAGAAGAGGAAGAAATACCCAACGTTGTCAAGTAGTCGATTACTTCCACAAGTAGTTAATGACTTTAGAAGTTGTATATGGAGTATATATTTGCCGAACAATAATCTGATTGGCGCGGCATTGTAAAAACAGCTATGGTGGGTACTCCTAACTCAGGCCATATTGCTACTGTAGCCTTTAGGGATAAAAGTGATTGACTATGGACACTAATTAATCAGGTTGGGTTACTATATTTGCTCTTGCCCAACCATTCTTCGATGCCAAGCCATAGTTTGCTTTATTAAAATTGAATATATATAGACTTACAGATAAGAAAAATATAAAAAAAAATTGATGGGAAAGAGACTGATCAAATTTTACATTTTTTTTTACATATATACAAATGTAAAACTGTAAAAGAGTTGGTTTAGACTCTAGAGCTACCAACTATTTGTTGGTTTCCATTGTTATATGGTGCACCAACACTTCACCCTAATGGCGTATCGGATACCGATACTCACCAATACGCGTCATGTACGTATTGAGTCCGTATCCGTAATTTAATAAAAGTATCAGGCTTAATTTTAAAAATACCGATACTTCCAATATCCGTATATGTGAACCGATACGCGTATCTAACCTTATAAAACCCTCATTGCATACACGACTTATTGAAAGTTTAGTAACTGCTCAAGCGACCACAAGATGTGGAACATTTATAAAGATGGTTTTGAGACAATGAAAAATAATGAAATACTATAATTTGTCATTTTATTGCTTGATGAGCTTTAATTGAAACAAGACTTGGATGTATATCTAAATTGAAACAATACCATAATTTGTCATTTTATCGCTTCAGCTTGGTTTCTGCGGCTTTGGGACTGAAACCGATTCTCAGGTGATTTTGGAGTTGCTCGATGATACTACCTGGAACGGGAGGTGGGGGTCGTTGTTGGCAGATCTAAGGCGGTGGTCGGTTGACTGCCCGGTATCTTTCAGACATATTTATCGTGAGGCTAATTGGGCTGCCCACTTTATGGCAAGCTACTTTCCTGATAAGGATGAAGTTATTTCCTACTTTCGGGCCATTGAGCTTCCTGTTTTGGTTCGTAGGTCCATCTTGGCGGATGAATTACAACTTTCTTATATTAGGCGTTACTAATTCTTTGTTTCGGCCCATAGTTATTTTGTTGTAACTATGGGCAAGGTTTGATCCCCCATGGTTTTTTCTACTTTCCGTATTTCTTTTACTTTCGTCTCATGTATTGTGGAAGATATGCCTTCCGGAGAGGTGTCTAATCCCCCTCTCCGTTTGTATTCGTTCTTTTTCTCATCAATAAAACTCGACAAGTGTTTCCCGGCATTTGCCCCACTGATTTTGGTGGTTTGCCTTCCGGGTTAAAAAAAATAGAGAACAAAAACATGTTACGGAGTATTTGCTACTAAGAATATCAACACTAAAATTCCAGAATTTCTTTCACCCATTTATCATTGACTGGAATTCTCTCAAGCTTTTCCCAAGTTCTCCCTACTTCCATGTAACTCTATTCCATGTAACTCTACCCTCACTCATGAGTTTTTCCTCTATTCCATGTAACTCTACCCTCACTCATGTGATGTTCAAACAGGTGGGCAGCCTAAAATCAATTCAGTATATTCTTCACGGCTTTCTGAATCGAAGGAAAGCCAATCAATTCCTTTTCCGCTCTTATCTTATCTTAGAAAGAAGAAAATATGTTTATCTTAGAAAGAAGAAAAGAGTTAAAGTCTGGAATTAGTGTTATCCTTGACAAGTAAAAATTTAAATATATTTTGAATAGGAAAGAGCTAAAGTGTACAATCAGTGTAGTCCTTCACAACTTTCTTAACATAGTAATTTCTTGCTGAGTAACATTTTTTTTTTCATTTTTTCCTATTTATTTATTTATTATCAAATGTAGAAGGGAAAGTTCCCGAAATAGGATAAAAGAGTTTGAAAATTCCAAAATAGGACTGTTATATTTTTATTCCCAAAATAGGAGTAATTATTGTCAAGTTTCGAAAATATTGTCATGTTTGAAGTCTGGTACTGCCAAAACATGACAGTAATGTGTCCTATTTTGGGAATAAAAACATGGCAGTCATATTTTGGAATTTTCAAACTTTTTAGTCCTATTTCGAATAATATCTCAATATGGAACTATTAAACATGTATGTACAAACTTATTTCACCTTAAAAAATCCTAATTCTTATGTGGTGACGTGTCTAAGATGGAATATCATTAACATGGTTTGTACGGTGATTAATATAGTGAGAGCTTATCTACGATTTTTGTAAAAAACTTTAAATTTATCTAAACATTTTTATCTTTTCCCTTAAAATTGGCAAGCAATCTTAGACTATTAGCAATCCATTACCATGTTACTACATGCTTAATTTTTTTAGAATGATTTGATTACGATAGATTTCTTTCATCACGAGTTATTTCTTCTTTTGTATTCTACAATTAGTTTGTAATAAGTTTATATATAAAAGGATTTATTATGATTTGAGGCCACTTATGGTTTTTTCACACTTCCTATTAGAATTCAACTATTTTGACTTTTCTACATGTTAACATGCTAAAGAAATCATATCAAATACATATACATCATACTAAGTACATAATTTGCAACACAATTTATTGGGCACTCACCTTTTCGCGCAACGCGCGTGTATAAAACTAGTTTCATTATGAAGATGAAGATGAAGGCGGAAGCAAGCAAGAGGATGATACAGATGAACATGAAGGTGGGGGTGAACAATCACAATCGCCCCCTCAATTCTCAACACGTCAAGGTGTCTCATTTGATCAATCACTGACGTGCACTTTGTCGTGTATGCACTCAAAATAATAATCAATATGACACTGATACGTAGTATAGAGTAGTAAGGTTCGTATCCATAGGGAAAGGAATACTTCTCTTTTTATAAAACTGGAAATAAATAACAAGGGTTTTTTTTAGATTGATTGATGAACTTAAATTATATTTAAGCACGAAAATGAATGACTTATGTGGTTTAATTAATGATGAGGGGACTTGGTTTTGCTTTTATCCACTTAATGAAATGTTCGTCGATCCCGGTAGTATCTTTAACTATCTTCCTCTCGAATACTCAATCGAGGAGTATATCCAATTCATCGAGGGTAGTTATTAATAACGAGACGTGTTCATTAATAAAACTTACTACCGAGCCAATATAGAATACGCGCCGTATATTCACTCGGTAGTAGCAATAAAATAGAGATGAAAACGATTGAGATTGGGTACCTCAACACAAGCGGTTTATTGGTTTAGTCAATATAATTAATTCCCCTTAGATGATTAACCATGAGACGCATGCATTAATAATCCAAGTTTACTACCGTGAAAGGACCGAATTAATAACAAGCGTATTAATCGACCGATTCTAGTATTAATTAATATATGAAACAAAACTAGTTGATCCTTTAAGTAATGCTCAAAATATTAATATGAAATAGGAATAGGAATTAATTAATATTCAGGAAAAAGATTAAAGAAAATAACTCACAACTTACAATTCATTAAGCTTCAAGGTGTCTCATTTGATCAACCACCACCGTATTATGATTCTTATCAGTACTCCACACAGGCGGGTGATTATGTTGAGTCAATTCTGAATTCGTCGTTTTATTATGGAGACACAACGAGGACTTGGAACACTGGCGGCGGGGACGGAGCAGGGCCAAGCACGCAACGTTAGATGTAGTATTAAATTTAATATCGTATGTACTGTCTATTCATTAATAAATTGCTGTCTATTCGTTGTTTTGTTCAGTTCCATTAAAATTACAAAAATTGCACTTAAAACAAATTCAAATTTGTATCTCATTTTACGAATGGATTAAATCAAAATTGCACTTAAAATTACAAAAATTGCATTTAAAACAAAATTCACAACACAAATGGATTAAAAAACAATATAAAGCAATCAACTGTTTTGTTACACAAAAAATCAAAATGCATTATTTTCATTTT